GTAACACCAGTGACAGGGCACCTGGGCATCCAGGAGCTCACCCACAGTGCACCAGTAAGGTACTGCCACCAGTGACACCAGTAACACCAGTGACACCAGTGACACCAGTGACAGGGCACCTGGGCATCCAGGAGCTCATCAACACCGTGCACCAGTAAGGTACTGCTGCCACCAGTAACACCAGTGACACCAGTGACAGGGCACCTGGGCATCCAGGAGCTCATCAACACCGTGCACCAGTAAGGTACTGCCACCAGTAACACCAGTGACACCAGTGACAGGGCACCTGGGCATCCAGGAGCTCACCCACACCGTGCACCAGTAAGGTACTGCTGCCACCAGTGACACCAGTGACACCAGTGACACCAGTAACACCAGTGACAGAGCATCCAGGAGCTCACCCACAGTGCGCCAGTGCACCAGTAAGGTACTGCTGCCACCAGTAACACCAGTAACAGGGCACCTGGGCATCCAGGAGCTCACCCACACTGTGCACCAGTAAGGTACTGCTGCCACCAGTAACACCAGTGACACCAGCAAGGTACTGCTGCCACCAGTAACACCAGTAAGGGACTGGCTGCACCAGTAACTCAGCAGGACCTGGTTGGGTGGATTTGACACAGAACTGAGTCCATGCCCTGTTGCAGGACCTGGTTGGGGTGGATTTGACACAGAACCGAGTCAGTGCCCTTGAGCAGGACCTGGTTGGGGTGGATTTGGTGCAGAACTGAGTCCATGTCCTGTGGCAGGCCCTGGTTGGGGTGGATTTGGCACAGAACCAGTCGGTGCCCTCGAGCAGGACCTGGTTGGGGTGGATTTGGTGGAGAACCAGTCCATGTCCTCGAGCAGGACCTGGTTGGGGTGGATTTGGCACAGAACTGAGTCCATGTCCTGTGGCAGGCCCTGTTTGGGTGGATTTGGCAGAACCAGTCTGTGCCCCCGCGGCGCTGCCACGGTCCCCCCGCAGCGGTTTTTCCCCGTCCTTCTCCCTCTCTTTTCAGCTCGGTTCCTACCCCAGGTTGCGGGAGGAGACGGAGCGGATCGTCACCACCCACATCCGGGAGCGCGAGGGCAAAACCAAGGACCAGGTGAGCCCCCCCGGGGCCCTCCCACCCCGTCCCGCTCCCTCCCGGCCCCTCGGGCGTCCCTGGGGCTCCCTCTCGGCTCCCTGGGAATTCCCACCCTCCCTAATCCCCCCAGATCCTGCTGCTGATCGACATCGAGCTCTCCTACATCAACACCAACCACGAGGATTTCATCGGATTTGCCAAGTGAGTCCTTTTCCAAGGGAGGGGGGGGATGAATCCCAAACTCTCCGTCGGCGAGGCTCGTGGTCCCACCCCCGGCCTGGGGGGGGTTGTGTTATCCTGGGATTGTGTTATCCTGGGGTTGTGTTATCCTGGGATTGTGTTATCCCTCTGGGATCAACCATGGGAAGGCCGGAGCCTCCCACGTCCCGTCGTCGCCCACCAAATCCACACCTTTGGCACCTTTGGCACCTTTGGCACCCGATTCCCTCAGCTCTGGGAGACGGGAGCTTCCCCTTCTCCGCTTGCCACCGCCCGCTTTGAGGGCTGGGAGAAGCTGGAATGGGAGTGTTGGGAAAAGCTGGAATGGGGGTGTCCTGGATGAATTCCCGAGGTTCAGGCTGTTGGAACGACCCTCATCCCGTCCCCTGGAGCTGGAACGGAGCAGGGAATGCCCCCTGTCCTCTGTCCCTGCTGCCTTCCCTCAGCTTCTCCCAAAGGAAGGCCGGCGTTTTCCAGCCCCAAGCCAGCTGGGAACCTTCTGGAAGCCCCAGGACCCCCGGCACGCGGGTGCCCGGAGCCCACGCCCACTCCTGCTCCTTAAATTCCCCACAG